GGAAGCAGAAAGCTGGGGCTTGGGGCCTGCCACGCTCACCACCCACCAGAAAGGCAGCAGACATCCTCCTGGGTGCTACGTGGGGCGCAGAGAATCCCTCGCACAAGGTGGCAGCCAAATGGCTGAGTTTCCCCGGTGTTGGCCTGGGGAAGCATCCTGGTGGAAGGTGACAGCCTGACAGGTTGAGGGATCGGGCATCTGAGCGACACTGGGGGTTGGGGGTGACGCCTACAAGATGGCGGAGTTAGCTGGTTACTGCCGAGTTGTCCTGAAGCCCAGCCAGGGAGGAGAAACCTAGGGTCACTAACAAACAAACAGTTAAGCACAAAGTGTGAGAGCCAGAGGGCTGATTTGGTAGCTTACAAAGAAGCCCTTATTTCCTGTGGTAGCAAAGCTAAGAGAACTGAGGAACTGAAGCAGGACTTGATTGTCTGAGTTTCAGAGTTCCAGAGACATTCAAAAGCTCAGCCTAGACCAGATATTATGCTAAGGTCAACCCCCCGCTGGAAAACCTGGCCCCTGAAATGTGGGCTGGGGATGTGTGGGCAGATGCTCTGGGCCTGTTCATCCCCACGGGGCTGCTCCCCTCCCAGGGGGTGCCTCCGCAGGGAACATCCACCTCTTTCCGACAAGAGTTAGCGCTTCCGTACGAATTAGCTGGCATGTGTCAGCAGGAGCTGCAGACCTCGGGGACTGGATTTGAAGGTTCTTGACCAAAGGGTAAGAACATAGGATTTAAAATACTTTGATTGGGAGGCACTTTCTTGGGACAAGGGATTTAATATCCTGTCAAGGACCCCAGGAGTCGAGGCAAACTTGCTGCTAGGGTAGCTATGACAGGCAGCCTCCAAGATGGCCCCCAGGGACCCCTGCCTCCTGGTATTCACGCCCTTGTGTACTCTCTTCCCACTTAGTATGGGCTGAGCTTATGGCTCACTTGTACCAAGTAGAATATGGCAAAAGTGATCGATGTCCCTTCCATGACTAGGTCGGCTTAAGTCGTAGGCTTTCTCTCTTTCTGGTGCCCAATCTCTCTGCACACACACTTTCTCTTTCTCTCGGACTCCAGCCACCATGTAAAGAAGTCCAGACTGTCCTGCAGGAGAAGGCACGTGGAGAAGGGAGGTCGCGGAGGATGAGATGTGGAAGAGAACCGAGACACCCCAGCCAGCACCAACAGCCAGTCATGTGAGTGAGCCTTCTTGGAAGGAAGCAGCCCCTCCAGCCCCAACCAAGCCTTCAGAGGATGCAGACCTGGCTGCCACTTTGACTGCAACCTCATGAGAGTCCCTGAGCCGGAACCATTCAGCTAAGCCACTTCCGACCTGACCCACAACAACCATGAAATTATGTTTGTTGTTTTAAGCCACTGAATTTTTTTAGGGGATTTGTTCCACAGCAATAGACAACAAATCCAATAGCTCTCAGAAGCCTGGAGAGAGTGATGACTCACGCTACGCAAAGCGGAAATGCCTGATTTGCACTAAAAGACAGGAGATGGGGGAATAACGAAGCTGACGACTGGAGTAGACCCGTGATGTGAGGCCAGGGGGTCCCAGGACTGTGTTCCATGAGCGAGTCCAGAGGACAAACCATTAACCAAGACCATCAGGATCTTATTAACTTAGTGTCACTGAGGAGTTCAGTGGGGGCTCTCCTTTGCAGGCCAGAGAGAGAGTCACAGAGGTAGGCTTGTCAACGTCCACGGGGACGACCCCTCATTCTCAAGTAACAGAGGCCAGATGTCAATCATCAGAAGCCAGCTCTGGTGGTTTTTACCGTAACAACTGGCAAGTTTGGAGGGGCAGCCAAGGGAAACTGTCCTGCAGGGGGTCTGGAGATTGTTGGTAGAGCCTTCAACAAGGCGTTCCTAGGTGTCAAATAGATAAGCAGCCCACAGAGTGATGTTTGGCATTTATAATAACAACGTAGTAAGCGTGGAGGAGCAGGATACTGAGGGAAACTGGCCCAAGGAGTCATGGACCTCGACTCAGTTTCTAGATCAAGTCAATTTTCGGATCCAGATCCTACTGACTGAAGGGTGGATGGGTCCTTAACAGAAAGGACCCAGCAACACCACAGAAGGTATATACTAGAACATTTACTCAGCACACTGTGAAAACAAGAATAGTCAGATACTGAAAGGCCCTTGGGCAGATCTGAGGTTACACTGATAGCCAGAGAACCAAAGCCTTACCATGGCCCCCCTGTAGAGTCGGGGCTGGTAAGGATCAGGTTATAAATGGAATCACCGTTAATGTCTGGCTCATGGTAGGTCCCCTGGATAGGCGAAACACCCGTGATCATTCTCCCCACCCTTGAGTATAAATTGGAATTGATAAGTTCAGCAGTTGGTATTATACCCAGAGTGGGTCCTTGGCCTTTGCATAAGAGCTACCACAGTGGAGAAGCTCAGACAGAAACTTCTGAAGCTGTTCCCTCCTTCCTGGCCAAGAACGTAAATAAAT